ACATACCTTAGATCACATTCATGAAGTGGATCATATTTAACAACCTTAAACTCATGTAATCCAACTTTATATGCCCGAACTTTCCAAGGGCAAGGAAGCTGCCAACAGCGAACACACAACCGATGCTTCCCAGATTGGACAGTTCTCAATCGAAAGTGGCCTGTAATAGCTGCTAAACTGATGGTTTTTAAAAGGGCAATCTTATTTGGATAAACTCGGCCAACCTTCAAATTTGCTTCCCAATTTATGCACGAAACGCCTCCACCATACTGAATATATTCCAAACTCTGACCATGCTTCAAATCAGCCCGACTTGTATGCATTTCAGTCGAACTTGATTGTCGGGGAGGTTCGGATTGCACCTGTCTACACTGCACAGTGGACGGTTCGACATTGTTGTCCTCATGAGGATGCACAATCGGAGCAGTGTGCGGTTCCTCTTCGTTGCTAGGTTCATTGAAATCAGCAACTATGTTTTCACCACTTTCAAAATTCACTTCTTCAACCCAATCACTCCAATTAAAATCATTCCCACAGTTTCAGTTTCATTGTCCCGAATTACCACATTTCTTTGTTCCACAACAAAGTCAGCAGGAGCATTGCTACTCTCAACGCTTACAATGCCATTGCACCCTTCAATACCATGACCTTCAATATTTTTCAAGCTTGCTACTAAAGGGGTTACTTTAGAGGCCATAACATCTGTGTTGTACTTTACAAAATATTTAACATCATCATTGTCTTCAACCCTTATGTGCTTACAGACAGATGAGGATACAGGAACTGAATACTTCAGTGTGACAATATATTTCGTGGGATCTGCATCCATGATCTTATAAATGCGCTGAACAAGGTCAGAAAACGTTACGTTCCGTGACACTATTATGCCTTTAGCCTCCCCACCTTCGTAACTCTCAATGTTATCCTTCTTAACCCAACTTCCATTGTAGCATACCAATATTCCAACAGTATCCATTTCTGCAAATAACATAGATAATTACTACAACAATGAATAAAACTAAAAAAGATACATTCAAACAAATAAAAACATACCACTACACGTATCATTTTATAAATCTTCCAAACTCAAATTCTAGCTGCTTCAACAAGGCACTTTTATTCATTTTTGTCTTTTCTCTGATTTTGTACATAGCTGTGGGTTCCAAGTTATTCACAAACTCACATAAACATACCATGGCAGCAATATGAACCCTCTAACCTCTAACAAATGTAAACAACTTCAACAAAAGGCTCAGGTTGTGATACAAAACATATTATGTGGTATAAGCTCAATTACCAAATTGGAAACCAAAACACACAAACTTTACTTCTTACCAAAACAAACCCGGAATGCCAATAAATTCCCCACATTAGCATCTATATTCAGCCTAAAACTACCCTAACAAACCTACTTTTAGGCCAGACACAGTTAACATATGATTTTTCTGTGTGCTGTTATTTTGCCCATTATCAAACACATTGCACTACATTATACAAGCATTCGGTCAATTTTAACCAAAATTCAAGTTTACCACATACATCCCACTGCAGATAACAACACAAACTATGAATTTCAACATATCATAACGCCTTCAAACTGAAAATTGAAGCTTTTCTGCCCTTCTGTGGTGAAAAGGGGTTGCCCGATTTTATAATACACATACACTTCCAAACCAATATATGAACTCACCTCCGTTCACGACGACGCCGGAAGGCGCCACTTTCGCTTCTCTGTGGAGTCGCAACAGTCACTTCGATCTGGAGGTCAACAATGGAGGCGGTGCGTTCCGCCGGCTCCGCTACGGTCAAACTAGGGTTCGAAAGTTTAGGACATCTGGGTTGTGACTATGGATGGCTTGCGAACTGGATTGCTTAGTGCCAAAATGTCTCGCAACCTAGAGTTCCCCCATTTTTGGCAAACTGCGAAAACAGAGAAGAAAGAGGCGCTAAAGGGTTGATACATCTGCTTTTATATGGAGGGCACTTTGGTCATTTCACGTCTTCAAGTGATTATATTAGAATACAATTTGTAGCCTGATTATTTCAGCACACTATTTCTGAATTGTGATTACACCAGCTTATTTCCCATGAAACAACCAAATCTGACGGATGTGGGCCAACATGCAAATGAACAACCAAAGTTAAGGCAAGTATGCCTTGTATAGTCAATAGCACAAAAGTGGGCTGCAGCTTTTTCAATTGGTGGGTCCCACTCGGTTTCAAGGGCTTCAACCAAGCTCATACATTTAGCTACTACTCCGGTTGAGCTTTAAGTTTTAGAGCCCCAAATTTGCACATTTAGAGATGCCTTTTTAAAGAGAGTTTGTATATATTGGAGCCTTGTGGTCGTTGAGCCCCAAATAGAGTCCTCATTGAGGATGGCCTTAGAAACCGATATATATGCCTCAAAGAAAGGCATTGCTTAATGTTTTTTTTTTTTGGGGGAAAGAACAAAGAAGGGCATTGCTTAGGTTACACTTTGACAAATAGATGCTGCATGCGTCGTTTTTCTTTCCCTTTTTTTTCTTTAGAGATCATTGATCAAGCAAAGAACAAGAATATTTACTTGAATTCACCAATACTTTACACTAGAAAAGACCCAAGAAAAAAAACAAACATTTTTATTCTCTTAATGTAATTGCCCCAACAATCAGTTAAGTAGTGTCGGGAGTATTCGCAATTTGATTTTTTTTTTTTTTTTGGTTGATTTTTCTTACGTTAGTTAATCATTCTGATTGTAATTTTACTATATTTTGAGATGATGAGAAAAAGTAGTTTTCTAGCTCTTTTGCATGCACGTCCGTTAATAATAGTCGTCCTCCACAGCACATTACACATGTGTGGTGATGGTGTGGTGCTGTGATCTTGCTGCCAGGGCGAACAGGGCAACAGCACGGGGCCCAAAAGTTTTGGGGGCACAAAAAAAATTATAATCCTCCATATATATATATATGTATTGTATATGCCAAAACGATATATATATATATATAAAGTAAAAGGTAGAGAATGGTGAAACATTCAAAATATCATAAAATACTATTGGTTAATGCAATACATTAAGAATTGAAATTATTAATTAAATGAGGATAATATGATAAATTCACATTTTTTCATATTAACAAAAAATCAAATAATGGATTCTATTTTTATGAAACACAATTACTCATCATTTTTTTAATTCTAAAATAAATTTTTTTATTTTTTATTTTAAAAGCCTCTCGCAAGCGTGTGCGGAGAGGCTAGTATATATTATGTATTTTAAAGCCTATATATAGGGGGCGGATTTGTGGTACTATATTTTTGACACAAATTTTCAACCATTAGATTAGAATGGATTGAATGGCTGAGATTATGTTTCATTAATTACTTAAATTAAATTAAATCTCTAATGCCAAGTAAATTTCATTTTTATTTATTAATTATGATAATCCCGAAAATCACTCAATTATCTTTCCCCCTTTTGTTTTCTTATCATGATCTTCTCAATTAATAACCTGTGAAACCTCACCATTACCTTCCCCTTTCCATTATCATCTACACCAACCGAGCATTCTTCCACGACGTAGAAAATCTGTCTCAAGCTACCAATATTGAAGAGAAAATAAGATATTAGTATTTAAACAAAAAAGAAAAAGCCCAGATTTGTTGCAATATTTCTTCTCTACTGTTTGGTTGATCTATCTCTCTCTCTCTCTCTCTCTCTCTCTCTCTCTCTCTCTCTCTTCTAACATCTTAATGGCTTACAAACTTTTATTTATTATGATTAATAATAACATTAAAAAATATATGGCAAAAGACAATTTGATGTGCAGTTCATTGTGTGTGTGTGGATGGGATGTTATCCCCAAGCCTTTACTTCAAGAATCATAATCTATGTATAACTTTAACAACCCAAAAACTAAGCAGTAAAAAAAAGCAAAAAACAAAGTTAGGGATAGAAAAGAAAAAGAATCAGAAACTTGTAAAGCTTTTAGAAGAAAGAGGAGGAGGATGGGAAAGTCATTAATTGAAGAATTCTAGAGGATACGAAATAGGAAGATTTTATAAAACATTGATTGAAAATAGAAAAATAAGAAAGAGAAAGTCAATTAATAATTATTTTTAATATATATTTTTCTTAAAAATATATCATTAGTTTAGTTAATCTTA